TGCCTTGGTTGGATGATCTGTCCCAATTTATCAAACAAAGGGTTTTGCACAAAGATACTTTGCACAAATGATGTAGACCTAGATGGAGTATGGATAATTTCTCTCAGTGTCACGCTGCGGGCAGGAAATTCTGTAGCACTTGAAAATTCCTCGTTGTCTTGTTGTGTCAAGAGAATCTTAATCAACAAGGTTGAGGAATTTAGCAAGCCTGGAATGTCTGCTTAGAATGTCAGTCTGTTTCCTTAATATTGAGCTTGAAAATTAATTCACTATTTTTGAGGTAGTTCCAACAATCTTTCATTGGTTTTAGGGATGGTTACTTTTTATAGGAACCATGGGCATTCTGAAAAGCAGAGCTCCTCTTTTGTATGAATTCTTGCCAGTCTGCACATCAGATTTTCCGTTTAATGGAAATCTGAGCTAATGAGAAAACCACAGCAGAGGTTAAAACTCGAGGTCTGGAAATTAATTTGCTAGTAAACATTACTTTGTTATTGTTAACAGTTTTTTAAAAATAACATGTTTAAGTCATTTGATTAGCATAATTTAATGCCCAGGCATGGACTGCCAGCAAAACTGCTTATACGATTGACCTTACATGGACAGGTGGTTGTTTTATGTTTGTGTGGTTTTTGTTTTTATCAATTGAATTTTGCCTCTGAAATGGAAGGTTGGCTTTGATAGCCCTGCAGTATATGATTTCATTGACGAAGAAAATCCCATCTACTACCAATAACACTAACTTTATAGAAAGCCAAGATGTATCTTGTCACGCAAACTGCTTAAGCACATAAACCACTGTTGGAAGTACGTAGAGCACGTCAGTGTTTGGAGAAGCTTCTTCTCTTGCATGGCTCTTTCAGATCATAGTGACCAGTTTCCTATACACCCAGAATGTTGGTGGGAAAATCTCACAGTTAAAAAACACAGTCTGGCAAAAATGCTGTTAGAAATCTGAATATGAAGAAAACCAGCCTCTTGAAAAAGATTTCTGAGCTGTTTAAGCTTGCATGATTTGCATAGCTCTCCTAAACAAAGCTAATCATTGTTGGTATATAACTGTGAGGGGCTGTCAGCACCTCCTCTCTAGTCAACATCATTTTTCTCTGTATTTCATGCACTGCAAATTAAATAATCTGTCTTTTGATTTCAGAGAGAGTTGTAATACAGTTAGCACTGTTTTATTTTACTGCATACAACAATTTTGCTGCATACAAGAAACTTGTTGGACAGAAATATATGTTCTTGAGGGCCATGCAATTTATTCAGGCTTCCTCCTCCTCCTCTTCGGCTTGATGTCAAAAGCTAGTTATTTCAGATTGCTTCAAATGCTGAAAACATTATTCACTATTTCTAATAGGGTTTCAAAAAGTACACTGTCTATACCAGAATGGAAGCCAGTAGTTTTCCTTGCATTGTTTTTGCACGAAGATGATGCACATCTTAGGACATTGGTTACAGTGACCTGAAATATCTGTGAAGCAGAAGATCTATGACAGATACCTGTCATTTCTCTCCATATTCATTCGTTTTACTCATTCTATAGCAATAGTTCCCAATCTTGGGTCTCCAGATGTTCTTGGGCTAAAACTCAAAGAAGCCTTCACTACAAGATGTGTTGGCCAGGGTTTCTGGGAGTTGTACTCCAAGAACATTTGGGTACCCAAGGTTGGGAAGCACTGTTCTATACCAAATTGTGTATGGTGATGTGCTATAAACATTTATATGAAAGTGGCTAAAGAATTATTGGTTCCACAAACAGCTTTCCAAGGTTTGGCTGCAGCTCCTTGAAGGGTGAAGCATTAGCTAGGGCGTATGGGAGCTGAAGTCCAAGAGTAAGAATCATTCCTTCTAAACAAATACTTTTTAAAAAATGTTTGGATGCTTCCCTTCTGTAGAAGAAAATGTATAAATGCATATGCTGTCAACAGAGGCGTAACAATAATAATATTTAGTTAATTAATATTAGTGACTTTAAGACTCATTAACATTGATTTTCAAACATTATTTTTAGAACACCATGTTTATTCATTTAGCTAAGGTGAGTGGGAAATGTAACTTGTTATTTCCGGTTGTGAACCAGAGCTTTAATTTCATATTAAACCAGCACTCGTATGGCTTCAGAACTTTCCCAAACTTTAAATAGCTCTTTGTCTCTGATCTGCAGTCAGAGGTAGAATAATTATAAAGGAATGAGTTAAAATTGATTACTCATTATGCCAATGACAACTGGAATTGGTCTTGTCAATTTAAAAGTGAAATGTAAAGTTAGTCCCCTTATTATCAAATCCTACCTGTTATTTCCAATCTCTGATCATAATTAGAAATGGCAATTCATTTTGATTTGTGGTTTGTCAGGCTCGATAAATCACAAATAAAAAAATCATGGATTTTTTTGGTGAATCAACAAATTTGTGATTCAGATGTTTTAGACATCTGAGCTATACACTCACAAAGTGGACACCCCCCTCAGGAAAGTGCCCTTTAGAAGCTGGCTTGGGGAAACCCAATCTTCACCAAAATTGGAGGAATGGTAGAGGAGAGTTGGGGGAAGCTTCTCTATCATTTTGGTGTCTCTGGGTACCAGAGGGGCATTTTATAACCCAATGAACTGACAAATCCAAAATCATTAAAAGTTCATTGATTCACATTTGTCAGGGCATTGATTTGTATTAATATGAATCAACAAATTACCAATTTTTGAATGAATTTGGTGATTCGTTTTTCAGTTATGCCCATCTCTTATCATAATGGTTAAATGTGCCTTAATATGTTGTTCAGTATCAGTTGCTGGTAAATACAAGCAAGACTGTACTCAAACCCTTCCTGTGGGCTTCCAGAGGCCTCTAACTGGGAACTAGGGAAGCAAAATGCTGGACTAGATAAGTCCTTTGTTTGAGCTAGTGCTTCTCTTCTCTTGTATTTAATATATCTCCCAAAATGTGGCAACAAGAACTGTATACTGTATTCTGAATGCGTATCTTTCATATAATGAAGATGAGAAGATGAACTTATAGATGTTACAGAGGCTCTCCATCAATATTTCTATATTGTCCAAAAATAGTCAGAATGCTGATAGTTAAGGCTGTCATTTAGTACCTAGCTATAATGTGGTAGTAAGAAAAGCCTTAGGACAATTCCCGGAGAAAAACTTTTTCATACCAATTGCTGAAGAAAATTGAATCTGTGCCATCTGCTTCCAGGAGCCCAGTCCAATATCAAAGTTTGAGAAATATATAATTTGATATATAATCAAAGTTTGAGAAATATACTATTTTTACTGCAACTCCCAGAATCCTCCAATCATAATCTCCAATCATTTTTCCAGCTCTGCCCATTATACAAGTGACTGGGGGAAAGCAGCAGGTGTTGCTATAGATACAGCTTATATGAGGCTCAATTGATACTTATAATAATGATGCAGGGCTGTAACTGAAGTGGCGATGGATCAATTTCATAAGACGTCAAGTTATAGATAAGGATGCCCACTTAAAATTCACTCCTTCCCATTTCTGATAAACATATGATGAATTTGCAAATCCGAAGTTTCTGCATTGCTAGGTTCTACAATAAAAAAATTGTTTATCAAAATAAGGGGCTGGTGGGAATACCAACATAAAAATCTGCAGTTTCTCCATGCTGTCAATGCACAAAACTGCCATATTTAAAACCTGTGCACAACAGTACAAGTTTTCTTCTAAAAAGAATTAGGTATGCAGTGCATGGAACACTCTGTGTACACGTTACGTGGCATGTGAAATCACAGCTGTTCAAGCACTTCCACTGCTTGAGGTCATAATTAGGGTGATGCCCCCTCCATACAGTATCATGCATATTCCCTTAAAATGATGGCAGAGTTTCTTTCCCCACTGAACACAGTAATGCTGCTGGCCAGCGGGCCACTCTATGCCAATGGGGAGGGAAGCATTATCTTCTACCACAGAGGATGAGATGGTGATGATGGCAGTTCCACACCCAGTGAAAAGATGCATAGTGGTAAAAGAGGGGAGATTGCAAGCAGATAATGAGAAAACTATTGAGCCATCTCTGAAAAGTGAAAGAAGCTGCAAAAGGGATAAGTAAAAAGCAGGGACAAAACACAAGCTACTTTGAACAGCCCCATTTATTAGTCCTTACCAGATAAAATCTAGGTAAAATTCAGTGCTTTTCAATCCCACTTATTTCAGTGGGAGAAATTCTACACATATATTTAGCTCTTTCTACTCTACCTCCTGAGATATTGGGGGTCTTCTTTTTTGGGCGGATCTCACATGCCTCAAATTTATCTAGAAATCAATCATCATGGTTGCCAGAAAGGTATTGCTGGTGTGCAGATATAGATCTTATATAGCTACCTCTGTCTAACAGATGCCATGTGGGGGGGGGGCATTTATTTTCTTCCATGCACAAACAATGGCAGCCCCCCTGCTCCTCAGCTGTCCCCTTTGGCCAGGTTTGTTTGTGGTTTTTTTGATGAATACCAAAGAAAAAGGAGGAAGGAATTTATACAGAGTCTGAAAAGCTGAGACCAATATAAAGCTGAGTCACCTTATGAATGGTAGTGAGCACAAGAGGGTATGTGTTGACCGTCTTGACTACTATTGGTGTTGTCAACATGAAGGCTGCCTTTTGCTGAATTAAAGCCTTGCATTATTTTTTCCTGCTGGCAACACAATCACAGTATTCTGCAGCAAAATTGGGCCATTTCCTGGTATTTTGGATCATGGATAGAGAAGCTCAATATCACATGTTCATAAACTGGAGGTTTTTTGGAGTATTGAAAATTAAAACAGCCTAAATCAAGACTAAAACATAATTTAGTGAGTGTTCTTTACATCCCTAAGCCACTATGGCCATGGTGTAACAAAACCAGCATGGTTAGAATGTTGAACTCAGCTTCAGGAGAGACAGGTTTACCATATTTTTCTGCTTTCACTGAAGAAGAGGTAGGTTATAAATGAAACAACCAAAATACTGTGACTTACATTTTGCTTCCATAGATAACACAGCGAGTATCCTCACCCGACGGAGAAGATTTAGTCGAACTATCCAGGATGTATACTACGTTCCCATTGTGGTTTCTGATGGAGGGGTCCCTTCACTCAGCAGCAGTGCCACTCTTGTGATACGGGTCTGCGCGTGTGAGAGAGATGGGCGTGTGAGGACCTGCCATGCAGAAGCCTTCCTCTCGTCTGCTGGACTGAGCACAGGGGCCTTGATTGCAATCCTGCTGTGCGTCATCCTCCTCCTGGGTAAGACACCCTCCAGATTAAATACTGGTGTCCTTTCCACAGCCTTCCCATGATCACACCAGCATTATGGCTTTTAAATATAATGTCATTTCCAACCAAAAATTGCTTATGATAAGAGGTAATTAGAAATAGAAAGCTTTGATATATATTTTTAAAAAGGCTTGAGCTCAAATTAATAGGACTAAAAAGCCTTTAAAGCAGATGGCTGAATTCCTGGCATCCAATGGAATTAATTTTGCAGAGGTCAGGGAGTAATTAGCATTGTCAATCTACCTAGGTAATTGAGGAAGATTTCAGGAAACCACTAGCTCAAGTTCCTTATCCAGTTCTCTTGGGGAAAATGAAAGAAGAAGAAGAGATGAAGAGAAACTTCTCTCCGTCTCTCTCCCTCTTTTTTTTAAGAGACTTCTCTGCCAGAAGCACTATCTGAACCATTTGAAAGCCATTTGCGAATTACTTCTGTGGGATAAGCTGATAACAGCACAAAGTGTCATCAAGAAGGGCAAAGGACTGAGGTGGCAAGCAAAGGATTCCAGTAGATAAACATTGGAGATCCATGTCCTTTGAACACTCTATGTGCTCAGGCTAATTTGAAATGTAACCATGAGCTAATATTCTTCTTTGACTGAGATTCCATGTATCTCATTCGTGCAATACAGGGTATAAGGAGGTAGGTATGCTTGTGTTTGCAGTACTACAAGTCTTGAGTGTAAACTCCCTTTGAAACAGAAACACTATTATCAGTGGGATCTATATATGATGGAATTAATCCATACTTAGATCTGCCTAGAGTTAGGAATGTGGAAATCTCCAAAGTCTCAATCCATCTTTGGTTTCTTTCTGTTTTTGCTTCATATTAGGTTAAGACCTAATACCCCTCACGGGAATACATTGGCAATTGCTTTGTATCTTTCCTAAAGCAGCCACTTGGCAGCATATCACCTGCTGACTAAACATACTTGTACACATTTTTGAATTACACTTGAATTTACACTTTTTTGTTGTACGCATTTCTTTGTTTGAAACTTAAAAAGAAAGTGGACACTTGACATTTGCGGGTTGCTCCCCTTGTTGAGAAACTAAGAATTGTGCACACATTTTTACGTGGTTTGGATAGCCTGAGTTCTAAAACAGATAATGTCAATTTATTTTCCATCCTTTCATAAAGTAAACTCCCAATTGGAATTTAATCTTTACTAATTTAAGTCTCATTGATTGCATCAAATCTATTCTGAAAGGGACTAAGAGTACAATTCTAACCGGCTGCACTGACTGAGGACCAGTTGAGTTGAGATTAAGCCATCTGAGCTCATGCTAAATTCAAATTCCCAGCCTAGGAGTGTTGGAAATTACTTAGGACTACTGACACTTTGACCTAACTATGTACCACCATTGTAACTATAATCTTCGGCAGGAGGACGTTTGGATCTGGCTTCAGCTTCACCCCTTTACCACCAATTTTGACTCCTCGGCGGACAAATCTGAGCCCTATGAATTCAGCCAGCAAAAGGGGTTTCTGCTGCCCAAGGGAAATTAGGGTGCCAGCAGAAAACAATTCAGCATTTTTCAGTTCCCTTGCAGCCAGAACATCCTTGGATGATATTGCACTGTTCATCTTCATCTAATTGTGTTCCTTTTAAAAATAAAACCAGCAAATCTTTATCCAGATAGGAGGAATAGGAATATACCTATGTATGTAAATTTCTTAAGCATCTGTATTAGCAGTCATTTATTGACATATTTGGTAAGCATCTTTATTAACAATCTTATTCCCTTAACTGGTTAAAAAAAGTTAGTTTGAGGTTTGAGGTTGCTGGTAAGGAGCAATTCCTTTCAATAGACTACAGGCAAGTCCCAGTGGGGAGAATGACAACATTTGAATAAATAAAAATTAATTAGGTAAGAAACTGTTTTGAAATAAAAAGCTCATTAGGCAATACTGGAAATTCCTCACTCCCATTCTGTCTGCTCCTGAGTACAGATGTTGCTTTCTTTGGGATGGCATTCTCATTAGTGTGGTGGCTGCCTTCTTGTGGAACATTTTTCTGCTTTATATTAAAATTATTCAGTTCTTATCTGTAGGTAGCTGCGTGTTGAAGGCTTCCTGGTGCAAATCATCTACATTTTATAGTAGATTATTTTAGTCATAGCTTGATTTCATATATTGTTTTATGTTGTATGTTTGACTGTTATACATTTCTTGGAAATCATTAGGTGTTAATTGTTGTATCTATAGTCAGAAAACAATTAAAAATATTCCTTCAGTTGATATCTATTATAAAATCAAATGGATCCAGTCCATTCTCATATGCCAGAAAAATCAATGGAATGCAGTGTGGACTGAAGTTGAAAAATTCTAGTACTGTATAATTATTTATTAATTTATTTATATATTTGATTTTTATCCCGCCTATCTGGACCAACGAAATTATTATCAATATCTGTGTTGATACAATTGGTGATAAACTTTTCTCAGTCTGCACTGAGAATCCTGGTAATTTGGATATTTCTGTTACACTCTATTGACAAATTTAATGTATGTAGTTGCATAAAAAAAGAGTATCAGATTTCCTAAATGATGTTTCCAAGTCCACAGTCTTATGATCAGTTCAAGGCCAAGGCAGGAATGTGGTTTTCTAAAATATATATATATATTTAAATATTCAGGAACACTTTGAGAATCAACTTTCTCTCTTGGGATTGTTTTGCTTTCAGTGCTCTCCCCCTTTTCTCCTCTGGTGGTATTCTAGCATATGTGGAAAATGTTTAGTGTTTAATTGTAGAACTATGTACCTTTATCTAGTAAAAGTGGATGATATCCAGTGTAGTGTAATGGGTAGGATGTTGGACTAGGACTCAGGAGGCCTATGTTCAAATCTCCACTCGAACATGGAAACTCACTTGGGGAGTGGAGCTGGTAAACCACTCCTTAAATCTTGGTCATTTTTTTTGATGACCAAGATGTACCCATTTTGGACCAAGAAGATGGTTGGTTTGAGAGGCGGAGTCAGGGAGGCCATGCGTGTGCATATAGAAAATCTCTCACTCAACAGGGGTGAAGGCCTTAAATAGAATCTGTCTCCTATTTATCATGCTACCCTTTCATCCGTCCCCAGAAAGATCAGGACCACACACACCAAAAAGACCACTGTTAATGACCCATGGGTGGAGAAGGACTGCAGAAGTGGAATTATCCCTCACCCCAGTGCTTTGTCCATCTAATAAGCCTATTCAGATCAGGGGAAAGTGAAACCAACCTGGAGGATATATCAGGGATTTCTGCTCAGACTGAAGAAAGTACTGTACTTGGATGAGTGGCAACACATTTCAACCTGATAAGAAGTCCAGTTGCCATGACTCATCTCCTAGATAACCTCACCTAGATGACTGAGAATCTTCACAGATACGCCTTAAATATCTCACTCACCTTGAAAGCCCTATTAGGGTTGCTGTAAGTCAGTTGAGACTTCATGGCACATAGTAAAAGAGGACATTTTTATAAAGTAGAAAGACTTGAACTTAAATGCCAGACAGTCTTTTCTGTCAGTTGTGAATCTAATTTCTGAGGCAATATCCTTTGATTATTTTAGTCATAAATTAAAGCATTTAATAAGTGGCTGCTGGGACCCAATTTTGGCGAATAGTTTTGGGAAGTTAAGTTATTTGGGGCTTAGTGTGTAATTGTAGTGGAGAACATAATGAAAAGTATTAAAGATGACTGTTATTCACAATTCAATTATTTTTTTAAAAAAACCCTCTGGTTTATGAATGTGGGCTATTGCATGTCTCTATCCATAGTTCAAGTGCCAAGAAATGGCCTGATATTGCTCTGCAGTGTCATACCCACATTGTCAGTAAAAAAAAAAAGGATGCTGAGCTTTACATAGCAAAGAGTACTCTGAATGTTGACAACATCAACGTTAGCAGTCAAGACGGTCTATAGGATACCCTCTTGTGCTTACTCCCGTTCACAAAGTAACACCAAGCAAGGGAAAAGCCCAGAAGCTGACTCGTTTTTTACCCATCAGTTAACCTCTTCTTATTCAAACACAAAGCAACAGTTAGGCCTGTTTTTCAACAAATTTTCTAGGTATGTGCTGTTTGGAGCCACAAAAAAGGTAATCAAAATACCTAGAAGAAATAAGTATTTCAGATTTACTGTATGCACTCAAGTACATGTCTGTGCAATGGGAGGTTCCTGGATTGTTCATCCCCAAGCAGTGTACATGAATTTGGAGTACTTGTGCCCCATGCAAGCCAGTGTATAATACTCCCAGTCATCTGTACCGAGCTATGCTCGTTCTGGGCTGATATTCTTTTATGCTCAACACATTCAGAATCTGAGAGAAGGCTAAAGGAAAAGTATAGATACTTGTTACAATTTTATATTTTAAAACACTCTCTGGGGTCTTTCTTTGCAAAACCATACTTGCTGGAGATTTCCTTGAACCCATGAGAGAGAAGTAAAATGGTTTAAATTAAGGCATTTAACTGGCTGTCTCTTTTGGATAGAATAAATTATATTAAATCAAGTTCAACACCTCACACTTTTTGTATATGCTGATTTGATATTCTATAGTAAATTGAAGGCAACAGCAAATATTGTCTCTCAGTCTCCGGCTTAATACCAAAATTTATGAATCATCACCTTGTGTTTGGAATATTGGCAGCATCCAGATTCAAAAACAAGAGCAGCGGTAAAGATCAAGTTCAGCTGGCACCATGTTTCAGCAAAGAAAGTAAGGTTCCTGATGCAGATATGCAAAGACCTCCATCCTCTTAATCGTCAGAATCCAAGATCTGAAATGTGAATCAAAACCACCTATCTCCATACACATCTGCAGTCAGTTCAAAAGCCAGTTCAACTCCAGAGTATGACTGATCATCTCAATGTATAAGACCCTGTCAGTTGCCTTCTCTGGAAGCAGAGGTTTCATCACATATGGCCATCCATATTTTCCAAGCAGTACTCATCTAATTATCTTGTTGAAAAACACAGTTGCTTTGTGTTTGAGTGAGAAGTAGTTTACTGATGAAAAAAGCAGTCAAGTTCTAGGATATTTCTCTTTTTGGTATCGCTTTGTGAATAGTAGTGAGTTCAGGAGACCATCTTGACTGCTGATATTGGTGTCAACATTCAGGCTGTCCTTTGCTTTGTAAAGTTTTTCCAGCTGGCAACATAGACACAATAATGTGTAGTAATATTGGGCCATTTTCAGGCATTTTGAATCATAGATAGAGAAGCAGAAGATTCACATTCATTAACTGGTGGTGAGTTTTGTTTGTTGTTTAAACACTTCAAAAAACAAAAACAAAAAAAACACTACCACCAGTTAATGAATGTGAATCTTCTGTTCTCTATCCATGATTCAAAATGCCATTTACTGGCTTTTCAAAATAGAAGTGTACATAAATTACAAGCAAATTCCAAAGAGCAACTTCCCTTATGCAAAACTACAACTGCTAGATTTTCCCAGAAGAGGATCATATCTATGGTTGCTGGGAGTGGGCAAAACCAAGAACAACTGGGATGTGTATGCAATCCCTCTGTGTCAAGTTTCAATTTTTCTTGAAGTGTCATTTCAAAGTAATTTTGTTGTGGAAAGTTCATCTTGGCTTCATTAGAAAAACAGCTAAAACAGAACTTTCTAGTTAATACTGTCCCCAAGTTGAATGAAATGGCAATATAGCAAATAGCCAAAAGAGAAAACATGGCAAAGATCAGCCAGTAAACTTAGAATTTGGGAAGTCTGATTATTTATGTGGATTTAGATAAAATTTGCTGATGTTTGTAACATACTGGTATTTGAAACATTCAGTAAACATTCATATAAAATTCAAGATTATACTTTTAAAGTCCTGTATTTGGATTATGTGAGGTTATGAGGAAATGGTAGCTTACCTTGCACCTTCTTTCATACCTCAGAGAGGAACCTGTTCTGAGCAGTTAATAGTATGTACATTTATTTCAGTGTAATCAGTGAATGAATAAGTGGGCACATCTGTTAAAAAGAATGTGATTAATGAACTCAAAATTATTTAATTAGCCAACAGCCTTACTAATTTCCTCTCCTGAATTTCTCGTCAGTGATTGTGGTCCTTTTCATCACGCTGCGACGCAGCAAAAAGGAGCCTCTGATCATTTCAGAGGAGGACGTCCGGGAAAATGTTGTCACATATGATGATGAGGGCGGAGGCGAAGAGGATACAGAAGCTTTTGACATCTCAGCTCTGCGGAACCCCTCTGCTGCTGAAGAACTGAAGTATCGGAGGGATGTCCGGCCTGAAGTGAAGCCAGCAACCAAGCATCCAGCTTCATCCAGCCTTGACAGGATAGATGTTCATCAATTTATTAAACAAAGATTGGCGGAGGCAGACCTTGATCCTAGTGTGCCTCCATATGATTCTCTACAGACATATGCTTATGAGGGTCAAAGGTCAGAAGCTGGATCTATCAGCTCTTTGGATTCAGCTACTACACATTCTGACCAGGATTATAATTACCTTGGTGACTGGGGACCAGAGTTTAAGAAGCTTGCTGAACTTTATGGTGAGATAGAATCTGAAAGAACAACTTAATTATCTTTTATCATTATCCAAATAAGGAACATTTTAGTTCCCCAAGCAATTCGGAAATGTCAAGAATGGTATCAACAAAGAGAGAAAGATATAAATATATATATATTAATACAGTACTGCGAATGGACTGCACAAAATTTACACAGTTACTGTAGAAACAAGTGCCCTTTTCACACTTGAAACTGGGTTCCTCAATGGGAAGAAAGTCAAATTTTGAAGAGGGGGAAAAAGTACCCCCAAGAAAGATTGTCCCTTTGTGTATATTTTTAATTGCCCAATAAAGTCTATGGTACAGTATCAGTAACAATACTTTAAGATACTTAAAGTAAATCAAGCAATGACCGATATTATTGCATTATCCCTAAACATACCAGAGCTACAGTGAGTCAATAGTGGTGCTTACTCGTAAGAACTAACTTTATTGGTTTTGGAGTTAGTGTCTAACTCTGTTTAGAGGTTTAGGGGTTTAAGATAATGTGGTGGGGAGGTTGTTTCTGCTCCAGTACATGCAAGCAGTTCTGGTTCTTTGAGAAGGATTTATTGCTATCTTCCCTTACTAAAATGCAGCTGGATTTTACTTAAATACCAGCCCCTTGTTGTGGTGTGCAGCCTTTCCTAGACCAGTCATAATCTTTCCATCAGAAAGACTAGGAAGCAAGAGTTAACTTTTTGAAATAATCTTGGACCTCCTCTCTCCCACATGCTTTAACTTTGCAGTTGCTGACTGGTATCAAAGTTATGACTTGATTTTATAGTTATTTTCAGTGCAATCCTGTGCATGTATGCTTAGAGGTAAGACCGACTGAGTTGAATGGGCCTTACTCTCATGGAAGGGAGTATGAGATAGCACCTTTTGTCTATTATTTTTACCAACATTTTTTGGGTTGTGGTGGTGAATAATTTAGATGGAACAGCACAGAAGGTCCTTCTGCAAAGCAGCAGGAGATGAATAGGCATTCCTCTGTTTGCTCTTGTTTGTTTTAATGTTATTATATTATGTGTTAAGCTATGCAACAATTTAGATGGTTTGGAATTGATAAAGTTGTAGATAAGATGCAAATGGAATTCACTGGAATCGAAGAAAATGTAGATAAGATGCAACTGACCACGGTATTCTAAGTCCCTAAATGTGATGGGCACTTGGTATGGTCTAACAGGTATTTATGTCTGTTCTCAAGTGAAAGAGTGTAGGTGATGTAGATAAGCCTTCCTCAGTCTGCTCCCCTTTAATGCTACAGCTTCTATCATGTGATCATAGATAATGTTGACTGAGGCTAATAAAGCATGTAGTCTGAAATCTCTGAAGGGTACCAAGGCATTGAAAAATTAGGCCTTTCTATCCATAAGAGAATCTGGAACCCCTAAAAATTGACTGAATACACTATAGTAAGTCCCATCACTGAAGCTAACGGCCAGTAAATGCAGTTGTCCAAAGGGCAACATCAGTACAGAACATCCATACAACAATTATGCAAAGCAGAGCTCCAGCGGTATCTTATTTTTTTCTGAATATGTATTATTAGAGTAAAGCACCCAATTCTTTATTGCAGTAATACCCACTGGTCAAAATCCTGTTGGGCAGGTTCCAGCCCTGTAACAGGAACAGCAGCAGCATCAGGTTACCACAAGTACAAGACTACCCTTTTCAGTTTCAGTGTGCACACAAATTTGTCTCATTGCTTGCAAGCCGTGTGCACCCAAGTCAAGAAAGGAAGTCTTCAGTTAGTAGCAATCTGGTGATGACATCATTACCATTGTTCAGGAGAACCTGCACAGTGGAGTGTTGTCCAATATTTTTAGAGGAGCATACATGTATTTTATGTCCATATGTAAGATGGTGTTCTGTTTTGGTTCAGGTGTTGAAGACAGTATGCATATTATATGTAACATCTAAGGCTTGTTCAGACATTATATGTGAAACCATGAAAAGTTAAATTACTGGTGGGGATGCACACAAGCTCCCTATCTTCCCACCCCACCCAAAAGAAAGGTAGATCTTTGTGTGTTCAGTGCAAAGTTCTATGCAAGTGTTCAACTGGTTGAAGTCATTGTGTTCACATGGTAGAGAATACTGTTATAGCAAGTGGCTCTGCAGAACTTTGCACTGAACATATACTTCTAAGTAGGACCAAAATACTGTATGAGGATAGACTGTATGTTCCCACATCCCCATCCGCACCACTGTTAGAACCCATCATATTTTCAGGCATCAAGTCTGAATAGGACTGCTCTGTATTTGAATTCCAGGTTTCTGCTGTTCAAGCAACTTTTCAAAACATCCCAGGTATTTCCATAAAAACAAGGCAATTTTTATTCTCTTATAATAAAAGGTTGACAAAGAATGACATTAGCCTATACAGAAATAATATCACCTTCTACATGTGCTTGTGTTTGGGCTTTTTACAATATTTTGACAGGAGACCTGAGATCTCCTCTGTACACGTTCCTATTTTGACATTTCTGAGAACTTTAACAAAAAGGTGGGACACAACTGTAATATTTAATGTAATATTGTGAATCTATCAGAATACAAAAGGTCTCTTAATTTTTTTTAATCCAAGAGACCACTTTCAGCTGGCATTTACATAAGGGTCTACATCTGATTGCTAGTCCCAGCTAGAGTGAGTATGTATGTATGTATGTATGTATGTATGTATGTATGTATGTATGTGTGTGTGTGTGTGTGTGTGTGTGTGTGTGTGTGTGTGTGTGTGTATGGATGGATGGATGGATGGATGCATGTATGTATGTAATGTGTGCCAACATCTATCCATAGGCAACCTAAGTTGGCTCCCGACAATTGAAACTATGTTTGTATGTATGTTTGTATGTATGTAATGTGTGCCAACTTCTATCCATGGGCAACCTAAGTTGGCTCCCAACAATTGAAATGATACAACAATCACAAATTTTAAAATGCTGTTTAAAAAACTAAATTAAAAAAAATTAAATAGTTATCAATATTCAACCTACAAATTAAAAATAATTTAAAATGTTTAAACATTTTAAAATCTCAAAATTCAATAACTGTAGCATTCCTGAGAGCCCAGTAAAAGCCTGCTTGAAAAAGAAGTCTTTGCATGATTACGGAGGGAGAAGGGGTTGGGAATTGATCAGCTTTTGAGTGGTGACTTGGCACTTACATGAATTTCATTGATTCAACATATGTACTCTCTCTGGGACTACCAACTGGGTTGAGGCCAAAGATTCTTCCACAGAACTTACACATATATGTGTTGACAATATACCCCTGCATATACACATGGATTCACACCAATATCATTCTTCTAAATTCCAATGCTTATATTGTAAGATATCTATCAGAAGGCATCTATTATTCAAACAGTAAGGAAGATAGCCAAGACAAAATTGTATTAGCACTTTGGTTCATTTTAGCATTTTTAATGATGATTAATTTTTCACTGTCTCAAATGTTATGTTGCCATTTTTTGGCTTTGACTATGCATGTAACAGAAGGAGAGACAGAGAAAAGTGCTATTACTAGACATTGTTACTTTATTTTTTCAGTATTGTACTAATTTTATAGATTTGGAAGGGCACAAAGGAGCATGTGTTTCATTGTTTGTATGTATGTTTCATGTAGCCTTCAATTTACTGGCTATATATCACAGGAACTTCAAGAAACGTACTAGCTAACTTTCCAATTGAGTAGTGAGAACGAATTTAGCAAAAGGCTATTAACTGTGCAATTGGATTTCTCAACTCTTCACATTTCATGTGCTGAGTTTGCTTTCCATCTTTCTAAACACAAGACCCTCAGTACCTTTCAAGCTGTAGATAAAATCCTGACTTTAAGTGGGTTTCTTGCCATAGCATTCCTCCAGGATGATTATTTAAGGTTGGCAAAATAGGTATGAAACGGCACAATCAATGAAACACCTCAGGAAGTAAGTCTCCAGTGAACTATGAGTTACAAGTCTAATTAAATCCTTAAAAGAAACAACACTCTCATTGACTGAGCTTATCCCGTATTTCAAAACTATGACACAACCAGTATTTATGATGAACCAGGGTTTGCTCTACCACTGGGCAGAGTGGGGCAGCACCCTCAGATTGCAGACAGTGCCAGGCAGGGAGCAGTAATGAGATGTTCAAGGGTAGAACTATGTAGACCGTGTGGTCTACTTTAGTCTGAACAAGGAGATAATATTTTGCAGTTGCTTGATACAGAAATCACAATTCTGGAATGTCTGAATTAAATAAGCATTGCTTTGTAACATAACATCACTGACCTCACCGCAATAAAGGTGGGTTGCAGTTACCTCCAAGTTACCTTCTTGCTTACCGCCAGTATATTAACTTCTTCAACACACTGTTTCTAGCTTTATTTCCAAAATATCTGATAGCCAATGCTCAGTGGTCTTCTTCCTTCCTTCCTTCCTTCCTTCCTTCCTTCCTTCCTTCCTTCCTTCCTTCCTTCCTTCCTTCCTTCCTTCCTTTTCTTTTCTGACATGTAATTTGGGAATTTCTTCCTTATAGTTGTAAACTGTCAGAAGTGATGGTTTTAGAGAACATGATATGTAAAAGTGAGCTGGCTGGATTGCTCAGTGAGTTATGTGTCTTGCTGTGGAGCCAGAGGTTGGGAGTTTGATTCCCAACTCTGTATCCAAGAAGATCAAGCCGCACAGTCCCAGAATGCCACAAGAAGAATGGAATGATAAACCATTTCTGAGTACTCTCTATATAGGAATCTCTGAAAAGGATGATGGTAAATCAGAATTAATTTGACTGCACACAGACACATGCAAATATTTAAGAACCACCCACAATTAGAAGGACTCATCATCTGTTTTTCACCAAGTGTCACTAATTTAAGGTTATTCTGTAATTTATAAAAGGTTAAGAACTATGCATATATGTGATAGATAACCTCAAGTGTGTTGACATGCAGAAGCTTCAGTCCCCCACATACATGAGAGTGATTTGGAGGAGGAAGGGGTTGAGGAGTGCAGGAATGCAAAGACGCACCAAGAACAAAGAAGACAGTGAGCACCAAAACACAGAGAAATGCCTTAAACTGAATTTGTACCATACTGTCAACTCTGACTGGCAGCAGCTTTCTAGCACTTCAGGCAGCTGAACACCTGGAAAAGAGACCGCCAGGCCCAGCTGTTGACTCTTGGCCTCTATTCCAGGTATTAACCTGGTCCATCTTAGCATCGTAGCAGTTTTTTCTGCAAATCTCATAGCAAAATATGTTCTTGAATTTATTATAATACTGGAACAATTTATTTCTCTGACTCCTTATTGCCCATATCTTCACTTTTTAAAATTCTTCCTATTGCTAGAGTACTAGCAGTGGTGGCGTTAGCATGCATACATGATAGCAGTCGAGACTGTATCCCTGCAGCAAAAAGGATGGCTGGAATTGTCTTTCTTCTCCACCCATGGAAAGGTACACAAAACTACAGGCCTTGGGATGTGACCCTTCCACACACACACATTAATCATTGGAGTAATGATGATAATAATGTTCCATCAAGTTAATTCCAACTTATGGGAACACTTTTCAGTTTGCCAGGTACAAAGTACTCAGAAATATTGGTTGTTGTGGGTTTTTCGGGCTCTTTGGTCGTGTTCTGAAGAGCCCGAAAAACCCACAACAGCCATTAGATCCAGGCCATGAAAGCCATTGCGAGTATACTCAGAAATAATTTGATATTCCCTTCTGAGGGCACTCTGGGATTGTGCAGCTTGCCAAGAGCTACACTTGCTGGCTTTTCTCTTGGGAAATACAATAGAAAATTGAGCTTCAAGCTTTTGATTCCACAATTGGATACCTAGCTCAGTGAGCCACTCAAACAGCTGATCATAGGATCGCATCCTGAGAATTTTTCTATGGCACACCATTGTATTTAGCATACAATTTGGTAATTACTGGCTTCTAGGTTGGTTTGTATCTCTCTAAACCAGTGGTTCCCAACTACAGGTCCTCAGATTTATTTAAAAATTGACCAATCCCATCTAGCTCTTCTATTGCCTGGTAAATGTTCCCAATGCATAAACAAGAGAAAGCCATGCTTTCTCCACCCAGGATATTGGAGTGGTCCTCAATATATTTATCAGCATTAAAACCCTGGCATTCACTAGAGGGCCACAATATTGAAGCATGAACCCACAGCAGTACACAGTGCGTTACTGGGTTCACACTAGTACAGTTGCTGTTTCCTCTCCCCAGCACTCCCTGAATCTCTACTTCACTACTTGGGAAGAGGTTGCATGCATGCTCTGTGACAATATCCAAAACGTTTTTTTATTAAAAATCTCATCACCATCACCCTACAGTTCCCAGAATTCATCAGGGTATCTATGACAGTTAAGATGAGACATAGTTAACATGAATTTGCAGTGTAGATGTGCTGTAAAAATTAAACGCTATGTCAATATCTGCATTCTTTTTTTTTTCCAATAGCATTTCCTTTTCAGATATGTGTTCTACTTAACTCTGTTTGTTTTTTTCTTACAAAATACCAAGGTACAACTGTTTTATTGTGGATGCTTCCTTGTAATAGTCCCATGATGGCTCTATAATACCTTCTCTGTCAGTGCCAGCATGCTTTTCAACACCAGTTGCTGAGAAACATGGATGGGAGGGTGCCGTTGCACTTGTATCTGACTTGTAGGATTCTCATTCATGAGCTTCTATTTAACCACTGTGGGAACCCAGTGCTGGAATAGACACTTCTTTGGTCTTATCCTGCCAAACCATTGTACACTTTTCAGGTGCTAAATGGTTCCTGCCATTCTCTTTCCTAAGTCAGTACACCCTCTGCTGTGCACATTATAATATTTTCCTCAAGACTTTTCAGTATTTTTAAGTGTCATGAGTGATGGCACGTTTGTTATAACTAAAAGACAAACAAACAAAAATGAAAGTGTCTTTCAAAGATGGGGACACTTGTACTACAGAATGACTTTGTTGTATCTTAATCGTTTGCTATGATTGATGGAACAGATAGAACACAAAGGACATAACAGCTATATAAGATTTGAGGTATTGCTTGAACAGAAAGTATGCCTTTAACATCTCTTTACGTCTGTCTTTTCTCCTCTCACAACAGCATATCTGTTTAAGACCTTTTGAAACAAATTGATTTTGCCCACACCGAAGGAGCTGACAGAAAGCAGATGCTGTCTTCATAATCCCATGACCATAAATGATGGAGACAAGTACTCAAGGGCATTATTTAGACAAGATAGAAAGAGGCATTGTCTCTCTTACACACACTCATACACACACACTCATACACACACACACACACACACTTTTTAGATCACATCGTTTTTCTTTAGAAGCCCTTGTGTCTTAGATTTGATGACTTGATAGCTGGTTTTATATACTATTACTATAAACCAATAACGAGGAATCCCTTTCAACTCAAGGGATAAACTCCATTTAGGAAAGGGCCTAAGGCACCACTGTCCAGATGGCAGTGGGACCAAATCTAACTTTTATCTACCGTATTTTTCCATGTATAAGATGCCCCCATGTATAAGACGCCCCCACTTTTCTAATCCAAAATTAAGAAATCTAAGTGGAGTTTAGCAAGTGTAGGGGGAAAGGGATAAAGGCGCTCCAGAATTGCTTT